GAATGGTAAAATTTATATTCTTATTATTGTAGGGTCTGTTTTGTTGACTATGACGATTCCTTTGAGTATTTGTCAAGTGCAGAGTGGTACCATTGTTGCTATTAGACCCCACAATCCGTCTGTCTTATCTTTTGATTTTTTATTTTTATCAGTGTGGGGCGGTTCCTGCTGGAGGCATTGTGATTTGTCGGCACTTTTTTATCATTTGCTGCTCTCTGTTAAACCTGATGCAGTTGGCGCAACAAGAAGTTGTTTGTTTTTCCTTGCATTGGTTGAATCTGTGTTCTTTCGCACAGTGGCAGCAGTGAATGGACTCTGTACAGTCTCTGGCCATATGATTAAAGCCCGTGCATTTAAAGCACCGGAGAATTAGAACATAATCATCAACTCTTATATTCGCCCATGATAGGGAGAGATATTTGTTTTTAATTATTAAATTACGGATGTGTGGCGTAACCGACAAAACAATGTGACGGCAATTCTCTTGTACTTTGCCTTTGTTGTTTTCTGTACTAATCCTGCAGGAGCTAAAGAATTCTTCTCTGTCAATATCTTCCCAGATGTCATTTTGGTTAAAAATAATGTCCATAAGATCTTCTGTTTCTACCGAGTATGGGACATTTAAAAGTATAATGCGCGGTCTCTCTTCTTCCGCTATATGACATCTGATTCTGTCTTTAGTGGTTTGGATGTTTCCTATGGCCTTGAATAGTATTTGTCCAACCATGTTATTTCTGACATGAAAGCAAACTCCTTCGTTCCTAACTCTTTTAACATCTTTCACTTTAACTCCAATCTCTGCAGGTTTAATCTCTATCATTATTGTTGCAACTATGGTGTCTATATCATTCTGTTCACCCTACTCTGTTGTTTTAGGGTATACCAATACTGCATGGTTGCCCCGTGACCCTTCATTTTGAAGTTTAGTGGTGAGTGATTTTGTTATTATTTTTGTCGTGTTGCTTGCCTTTAAGTATTTGAGCATATGTCGGTTGAGAAAACTTTGGTGGTTCAATGTTTAATTCTTGATGACTCACATTGTTTATTTTTCCTTCTGTTATTGCATTGTTTCTGCGTAGTTCTCCGATTATTCCGCACATCTCATATAAGAAACCGTGCATCTTTACTACATAATCCCGAACCTCCATTCTCTGATTGATCTTAATATTAATGTTTGTATGCTTTGGGCATAAGTCCATGATCTTTCCCAGAAATAAGTCAGCTTGCGTAGTAAGTGTTGTTCGGTTGACATATCAGAAGGGGATCAAGGCAGGTATTACTGATTCTTGACTTGTCATTGATTCTATAACGTCCTCGGGAAGTGACCCCAAAACGACTGGAGCTTGTTGGAACTGTTTCTCCATTAAGAAGAGTAAGCGCTGTAGAGTCGAGAACTACAGACCCCAACTTTAACGTTAATACCAGGTCTGCCGTAGGGCTGAGGGACCGATGGTAGACTGTTAATAGTCGAGGTGCACTTGTAAAAGCCAATAGTAGGCTAATATAACTTGCAAAATCCTTATCACTATTATGAAGGCAAAGAACAACTTAAAAATTGCGAAAACCAACTGATAAACCTAGTATAAAATCAAAATTCTGTTTTACGACGGCCGCTCGAATACCGACTAAATTAGTTTCGATTGGAGTAGCACACTTAGTTGGAGATCGTTCCTGACGAAAAACGTAACAACAACGAAAATAATGTGGGCCAGAAAAGCGAAACTCAGCACATAAGAGTGATAAAGAGCCACAAAGAGATATGCCGAAAATCAGCCTGATACACAAAGCGGGAAGCCTGCTACCGGCTCGCAGAAGTGAATAATGAAATTTAAAATAAATGGCTGAAAATAAGAGCGAAAATGTCGGAAAAACGGTGTTAGAAGCAGAATAATAACTACTATTACCGTGCGAAAGTTCACCGAAAGTTGAAACGGAGCCGAGAAAAAACAGAATTTGTATTCGACAGGTTAGGGTTGATCGGGGTATGTCATTGACCCCGACAGCCGATGCAATAGTAAAACTTAAATAACTCACTAATTAATTACAGTAAAAACTTAAATTTTACAGTGAATAAAAACAAAATTAATGAGATGGAAACACCCGAGTATCAGCCAGATCTGACAGGTGGAAAGCCCGAACGTCGCTACAAAGCGAGTCCTTCTAACTATGAAAAATCGTCGTAGTCTTATGAAAACGGATTTAGTCACAGACGGAAACATGTAAAAACATAACAAAAGATTAAGACTGGATGCCTAACGAATCTTCCGGAATTTTAAAGTAAAGTTCGAAAATGACCGTTACAACGTTCTTAGTTGCGCGGCCGAAAAATGGCCGTAGAATCCAAAATAATGGATCAAGTTAAGCGTACTAAACAGATTTACAAACCGGGGACCTTCAACAAACTAAATAAAACGAAAAACTTTCCCAAGAAACAAGAATTTTCGAAAAATCCCAAATCAAGCAGAGAGATAAAAATCCACGACTCATCGACACAGATGGCTGAGGTGATTCTGACAGGTGGAAGAGAGAAAGAGAAGTTACATATTAAGAGTTTTAAGTACAGGTATCCTTTGCTTAACTCGGAATTTGATTTACGCTCGAAATCAATTGCGGCAATATCTTTATAAATGCGGTAGAATTAATAATTCATTCAGCTTTACTAGTTTTCCTTACTAAAGATAGATACTGTATTTCGATTGACGGGAATTTTGATATACTCGATAGGATCGTGAAATTATTTGACCGCGTAAATCACGGATGACTATATTTATTATGAAAATATTTTGTTTTCATGTTTTGGAAAGATCGAATAAAGCAAAAGCATTCTGCAATATTAAATTGATTTTATATTCGTGACTCTGAAGTTATCGATACAAAATCTTGTTAGATGTCTTGCTTATGTTATACAGTCGCATTTGTGTGCGACTGTATAACCCGGAGAACGAGAAGAGATGCAGATGTGTTTACCTTCCAGTAAATGCAGTACGATCACATTGACGCCATCGAATGAGAAAAAGTAACGTTAGATAATGACGTCACATATTAGCGTTGTTCTCTTCAAAGAAAAGAGTGAATTATTGCACTGTACAGAAGTGAAAACAAAATAGTTCGACAAAACGTACTTTATATAAATCTATGTATATCGACAGTTTGAAAGAATTAAAGCAGAAGTGGTTTCATCAATAGACAAGAGGTGTGAGAAACAATCTTTACTACAATGGCACGTGCGCAGTATTTAGCGAAAAGAGGGTAATTGCGATAAGCACGTAACGAACAAATTTTCGGATTAGACTAGGACCGAATAAGTCATCGATCGAGAATGAATAACTACTGCTACTGCTTCAGAGTAAAAACTGTTACCCGGAATCCTATTATTCATTAATACGACTTTACACTGGTGTTTAAAAATTGACACAATAATGAGAGTTAGTTCAGAAAAAACAAATTTTCTTTATTAAATCACGTGTAGTAGTTCACTTTCATCTTGATAGAGGAGTGTATAGCCTTACGCTTTGTACTCCGGAAGACACAGGAGAGGAGATCGCACAGCGATCGAAGAGACGGCCAATGCGAGAAAGGGAGATAGAATGCTTTCCGGGAGGACTTTAATGGGAAGCTTGCCCCTATTTAGGCGTCATCGACAAGGAGGAAAACCCGGAAAACTTCTGCTGCCAGCCCGTCCGAGTGAGGCGCGAACCCCCAATCGAACTCCGGTGTTTAGGGTCTGGGTACTGCCAGTATAAGCGGAGACGGAGTCTGTTCCTGTATAGTTACTTTTCCTGTACACTTAAATGTGTTTCGGGAACACGACTCTCATCAGAAGTATTACTACAAACCACTACAATAAATAAGACATATTGTATATTAATTAAAAATACAAAGTAAATTCTCAACAATAAAATATATATATTTTTAATTAATATACAATATGTCCTATTTATTGTAGTGGTTTTTAGTTATACTGCTAATGAGGGTCGTGTTAGCCCGAAACACATTTAAGTGTACAGTAAAAGTTACTACAACAGGTGATTTAATAAAGAAAATTTGTTTTTTCTGAACTAATTCTCATTATTGTGTCAATTTTTAAACAGCAGTGTAAAGTCCTATTAATTAATGAATAATGTTCAAGTAGACCATTAAAAATAAATTAAAAATAAGGACTGTAAGGCAATTATAATGATAAAGGACATTTTGTTTTATTTACATACTATTTTTATGTTTGTGTGAAGTCATCATTAATTGCTGTTATTAAAATATGAATGGTAATGACATTGAATTGGTATTGGTATTATCTATGTTTATTTTCAATTTAAACTTATTTTTGGCTTTAAATTACTACTTTTAGAGTTAGTAGCCCGCCGCCAAAAGCTTCAAAAGCAGGTCGCCCGTAGTGATTAAAACATTGGCCATCCACGTTTTAGACTAATGGAAAAAAATTTCTCGACTATCATTACATCATTATTTTGTTTACTGAGAATCAATGAAAAGTTCATCTGGAGAGATCCCGAACAAGAAAGTTTTATACGATTAAAGGAAATCTGTAACTCACCAGTTCTAAGTTACTTTAACCCAGAAAGAATGTGTTATATCACACAGATACGTGTGATGTAGAATTAGGGGCTACTCTATTTCAATAAGATGACAGAAGAGAGCATTCCGTATGTTACATCAGTCTAACGCTTAATACAATCGAGTGAAATTATCCGACGACACAGAAGAAATATTTATGCATTAAATTGGCTATTGGAAAACTACGTCCTTACATATATGGCAAAAAGTGTATAGCTGTAACTGAACACCACAGTTTCGTTTGGCTAATGCTCTTAAAAAACGCGAATAGTCTGTGTAGATGGTCGTTAAGCCTTCATTCTGACGACGTTGATGTAGTGTACAAATAATATTCTAACCTAATTTAAGTTAATTAATTACAAACACTTGGCTGTTTGATTAAACAAAATTTGTAAAATTGTATGCATTTCTTTAAAAATATTGATACTTACACGAGCAAATTTAATTTCTCTTTTTTTCAACAGAAAGCTTCCAAGTAAAAATCCAGTAAAAAATGAGTTGAGATGTGAATAATAAGGTTTCCAGTAATTATGATTTACGTAATTTACAAGTTTTCTGAAAATGATGTAAAGAAAACAATATAAAAATATTAATATAGTAGCATAACTAACAGAATTTTTTTAAAAATTTGCCAATTACTTATTTAAATCAAAACAAAAAAAAAACTATAGAAAATTGATAAATTCAAAATTCACATTAAAATTCAACCAATTTATATTTGGTATATTATGAACAATTGATCTATTTTAGAGCAAATTAAAAAATATGAAGAACGGAGATTGATCGTTTTAATAGGTGTACTGGAATATGTGTATCGAGCCTACAGCTATCCCCACTGTAAACTTTACAAACCCATAATTAACCTGTTAAAGAAGACATCGTAATGTTCAAACAAAGGAAAACGTTATTAAAAAATCAGCTTTCCTCATTATGCAGGCGAATTTTTATCTTATAATGAAGAGCGACATTTCTCCGTTTTGCAGATTATTCGGTTACATTATGCTGTAAGACGTTTGAACGCTTTACAATGCATTACTAATATTAAAAACACAAGCAATACAACTCCAAAATATTTTATGATGATAAACTAAGTTCTCCTATTCAACGCTATTTACAGAGCTGTCAAATTTACGCTATTTACAGAGCATGCAAATACCATCTAGCTCCGGGGTGGCCAACAGTTTTTGCCCCGGGCCGAATTGGAAAGAAAACTTTTTCCACGGATCGAATCAGAGGCTGCCCTAGGAAAATTTTGAAGTGGTGCGAGATCTCATTGTAGTGTCATACTGTAGAAACTAAATTGTACATAGAGATTAGATACGTTTTTCACAATATCATGCTTTACCAACATTCTACGCTGTACTTAAGAGATCTGTAATGGAGGATTAACTCTAAACGCATAGTGAGTTGTTGACCTTTTTTGTTATTTTTACTTGGGCGTCAGAATTTTTCATCGAACTATTCGGAGTTGAGTAGCTAATATTCAAGGATTGATCGCTGGCCACGTAAATTCATTAGATGGGCCGTATGTTGGCCATGTTTAATCTAGCTAGTATTAAGAGATTTCAGTCCATGCAGAGAATATTTTCGTATAATTCGAGAAATTATGTACTAAATTTAGTCACTGACGAACTTGAAGGAGCGAGGAAAATCTATTTTATTTGTATAAAACATTTACACTATATAGAAATCTTAGTGATTCAAAAGATATTTTTCAGCGTGAATCACATTCTCATAATTTAAAATCTGAAGACGATGAGAAGTGTGTTGTTATCCCGAATGCAATTCGTTGTTTGTGATGCTTTTCAAATAAAATGAAATAATAGCATTTTTCTACAAACAACACTTCTATTAGCCTACAACAAATGTCCCAGAAGTAAGATTCAGCTCGTCTATCTTTGTTTATAGCGCTATTGCCTTGCCATAGTGAAAAATTTTATCATAATTTTATCTAAATTTATTATGTTTCTTTACCATACCAGAATCGGTTGCATCACGATTGATAGATAATTCTCTGTGGAACCTTCAATACAATACGCTATTCTGATAAACATCTTTCCGTTCGTCTGACATCTGTAGTACATCATTCTTTAATCTTGTGGATATAACAATTCACATGTTAATAAATTCGTACATATTTAAAATGTATTATAAAGAAATTAGCGATTTTTGCCAGTATTAGTAATAGTGTCTTAATGAAAAGTGTTTTTATTGTTTTTCTCAATGTAATAATGAAATTTTAATATTTTTTGTTTTTCTCTAGTAACGTATATCTGATTTTTGACTTTATAGTGTGGTGTCCTGTAAACAAATTTATATAAAATTAAAGTACTGTACATACCTGTAATCAGTAGAATAACCAAACATTGTGTGATCTTTGTATACATTTGTATTAATAACGTGTGATACAACTCCTGCCACAATTAACATCGCTGTGATAATTTTTCCGTACTTCGGCCATCTAAAAATAAAAAATATATATTCATTTTTGTTTTGTTCATTTAAATTACAAAGAATTAAACAAAGTACTTTCTGAACTATCTCTAATTAATTGTTATACAGGTAACCCCCGTATAACACGGCACTTTTATAGCACGGATTTGCTCTAACACGGTTCGAGAATTGGTACCATCCCCCGTATAACACGGTTCTTTTTTAGCACGGATTCACTCTGACACGGTTCGAGAATTGGGTAAAACCCTCGTACAACAGGAAATGTAATAAATTTTTACATACTTAGGTACTAATAGTGCACGAAAATTATTATTTTCGTGAACTATTAGTACTTAAGTATGTAAATTTTCTCTTCTCGCCTTCTGTCGATACAGGTGGTCCTTCTCGAAACTTGTTTCAATGTTGCCAGATCGCGACGCTTCTGCTTCTGATGTTGCCGAATGTTTTTCCCTTATTCCATACTTGCTTTATTCTTCATAAGTGCTTAGCACCATATAAGGAAATTTATAAAGACCTTTTAACTAGAAGCAAGCAATCTAAAATTACATACATTTTGCAAAAGGTAAAGCATGGATCTGAAGATAATGCAGAAAAATGCTCAGAGGATAAGGATAACTTGCCAAAAAGAAAACGCTCTCGGTTAATTAATAGTGTTTTTAGTGATGACGAAGAAAACATTGTTTAATTTATATTAATATGTATCACTTTAAAAAATTTTAATGAAGATATTTATCTAAATTATGAAAATATATTAGAATGTTTTTTAATTTTTGGAACCTAACCCTCCTTTTCGTATTAGTTCTTTGTTTCGTATAACACGGATTCGCATAACACGGCAATTTTTTGGAACGTAACTACCGTGTTATACTGGGGTTACCTGTATCTATTACATATGTATTCCAATGACGATATCACAATTTTATAATCAAATTAAGTAATTGGTAGCGAGTTCTCGCCCAGCCAACTGGCAGATGACGTGAATTTACCGCGTTTTTATCACGTATTTACATATAAAGAATGCCTAGTTTTGTAGAGAAATTTTTTACGATAAGATCTTGCTTTTCAAATGGTTTAAATGTTGCTTTCAAGCATTTCACGAAGTTTCTTTACGTCGTTAAGAATGTGTTCTATATCGATATAAAGGATTGCATATTTGCAAATTTATTGCAAAACCAAAACGGTTGGAAAAAGTGGTACAAAAATAACGTTAAGGAATTATGTTCAGTAAATATTTTTAGTTTCTATTGCAAGGTATAGTTTACTTTTTATGGGCGATTTATTTTAATCTATATTTATATATCATTGTTGCTTGAATCACAATCATTTCTCAAAGAAGTAAATTAAATTGGATAATGAAAATCATTACCAAATTTTCAAATATAAATTTTCTCTTTTAAAATGAAGGGAGATTTTTGTGGTCAGTAAAAGATTATACAATATCTACTACTGTTAGCAGCATGCATTTCATATAAACTGGAAATCCTAAACTATTACGTTTCACGACTGATATTTAACACTTGATTCCTTGAGATGTCTTTTCAAAATTTTGCATGGCAAATCCGTTTAACTTATCTGTTAGTGAAAAGAAAAGCAATTCCCACTGGTTTTGTTTTTGAAGAAGCTTAGTTTATATTTCGATGATTGCATGAATAACGATTTTGTATGAATAAACGGAAGACAGTTCTTCCTCAACACCAGCTTCGAAAGCTTTATTTTATTTTCGCCAAGTGCAAAAGTACCGAAATCTGTTACACGCAGAACAAATTGATTAATTTCTTTTGAATAAATTTTTTTTTGATAATATCTGAATATTGTACTGATATTTTGAAATTAAAAGCTAAACACAAAATGAACATTATTAAAAGGCCTAATAGTTTTCGGAGAGTTGACAGAGTAATGATTAAAAATAAAAACGCCAAAACATACCTGTTGTTTATATAGAGTAGAGGTATAGCCACAAGAATTTGCTGAAACAAAGCGCATAAATGATCAAGTCGCTGTAAATGTTAATAACATTTAATTAATATATTATATATTTTAAAATACTATATAATGTATACATTTGTAATTTTACAAGAGAAATTCCAGCAGTGTGTTCTATGAAATTATTGTAATGAAAAACATATTTGGGCCAATTCTCTGCAATATCATGAACATCGCTTAACAGGTCATTCCAATGAGGACCATCTCCTAGAAGAGGTAAAATAATCGTCGCTGCTAGAAGACAAAATACTGGCACTGTTAATCTGCAATAAAAAATTGTATACTAAGTAAATTAATTCAAAAATGTTTATCAAATAACATTACATTAATAAGATTCCAGTTTAAAGGAGTCGTTCCTGGAAACATAACTGAGCTTATTTAAATTTAGAAGGTTATAACTATCATTACTAGAACATACTGCTCGAGGCCGACGAATGTCCAAGAGGATAACAACAGAACTCTGGTAGTTGATTTCTAGATAATGTCTAATGACACGGGATACTCTAGTTACGCTGGCCACGTGGAATATTTCAGGTTTAGTTCATGTTACTAACACATGAAAATGACCTCGTGTAAAGTCATTGCTGTAGGCATATGCCCATCGTTCATGAGATGTGTCGCCGTATCCCACCAAACAGAGTTATATTATTTCCACATATTGCTAAAGCTAAAGTAATTTTTAAACAATGTTATATAATCAAAAACATTGGTAAATAAGTTATGCAGCAAGTAAAAAATATTAAATTACATTGTATACGAAAGCCACATAACTGATAATAAGAACTTTCCAACAAGGTCGGTATTAACATACTAAAAATCGATGAAAGTTTTATAGAGAGTCGATAAGCTATGAAAATATAAACATTTTATTTAAAAATTTTACATGTCTTTTTACTCTGAAATATGTCTTTGCAAAATTATATAGAGGTGCTGTTCGGTATATATATGTATTGGTAGATAGAATCCTTAATACGCGGGTCATTCCTCAATATTATACCTGTACTCCTCTAACCTTTTGTTTAGCTTTTAGTTCTTCATTAAAATTTTATCCTTACTAGCTGCAAGTACCTGCTTCGCTGTGTTTTTATTTGTTCGTACATTTGCATTTAATATAGTTTTTTTAATATAAAAAACTATTTTTCTTCTCTACATAATCTTTCACTGATTCGATGTGTTTTCCTATAATATTCAAGTTGCTCTTCTGTCTGATTATTTCTGTTTCATTGATAATTTTCTCGTAGCAATGTTATAGGTACTGTACTTCTCTTTCTTCCGTGGTTTCATTTCTTCCTGCCATCTTTTGCCTTTTAGATATGATTGGAGACCGCAAAAATTCTTTCTTACGCTTTGGCATTGTTTTTTATATTTTTACTTTTCACACTTTATTATTCACTTTTCACTTTCTACTTTATTTTGTTATTCGTTTACATTTACTTAAGAAAAATCAACTGAAGCATGTGCGTAACACGTCTCCAAAGCCATCCCCACTACTCACACATAACGGTCTTCGAATATTTTAAAACATTAAAGTTTAAGATTAAGATTACATTATAGCCAATCTTACTCGTTTTCACAAAATGCAAGAATTAGGTTCCCCTTTTCCAGTCTAATTAGAGAATTTTTACATGGGTCTAAAAATATGTTTGATGTCTCGCAAAAACGCAAAAGAAACATCTGCGCCTGTAAATCTTGCACTCCACTTTCTCTTAACACTTCGTTTGTTACTCAACACTTCCATTCTTAACATTTTCATTGTTACTCATTTTCAAAGTCAATCACTTTCAACCCCCATATCTCCCACATCCTTATAGCTGTCGAGACGCACCCAACATAGTGCACGATGGGAGACTTGGGGCTACTACCACACACAAACACCATTCATGTGCGATGTGTAGTTTTGCCTGCAGAGTGAAATATATGCACAAACACGTCTATATATATATAATATATATATATAGATATAGATTAAGTTTGTTAATGTTCTCTGTTACTCGGATACCGCCCACACGACCTTGCTTATTCTCCTACTCGATCTGACAAGCCGATCCCGAGACACGAGTAAACGCGCCTCGAAAGAAAAACGCCATCCACAGACAATGTGAGCGGTTTTTGTCAAACGGTCACCAGTAAACGGGTAAAGACGCAATCATTAACCCCGGCTACTCACAGTATTAACAAAATTTTACTCACCAGCTTTAAAACTAAGAAAAAGGCACATCTGCATCAAACTATCAACCATTCATTACATAAAAAGAATTATGAAAGTTTTAAGAAATTTGCACCTGTAATTTTCTCGTTAAATTTTGTGTACTGCGCTTTTCTGTTTGGTACATGTCAGTCTTTGGGAATGCACTTTAAACTTAAAAACTTTATCAAAATCGGTGAGCCAACGTATTTTCGTCTTTCTGAGTAAAGTTTATATTTAAAACAATTTTTCTTCAAATTTTGCACCATTTATTGCACTATATCTGAACGAATTATCAACATATACAAATAAATATAAAATTCACTCACCTGATGATTCTCTTTCTCAATAAGACGAAAATATCCATCGCAGTTTTCACACTGTTCTGGTAAGAATACGAGATAAGAAAACCGCTGAAATTTGTTTAAAAAAAAAAAAACATTGTGAATTATCCTACGTGTAGTTGTTTTAATTTTACACTAACAATATATTAATGTTTTATCAAATTATGCAGTATAAAATTATTTGTAGTGCTGAATATTGTCGATAGTAATGCTGTAATGGTGCCTTTCACAATGAAGAGTCTGCTCACGTCTCGGAGAACAATTTAGATTGACCATTTCGTTGCCTGAAGACTTTTTTTGTTTAATCGTAACGGCTACTAATATGTTAATCTATACAATTTTACAATATAATTATTATATAATAATTTCAACAGGAGCAATTGCCCTATCTTCGAATTGATTTCAGATGCACCACTTGGTTGCGCCACTCAGTGGCACCATTCAGTGGTCTGTATGAAAACGGCCTAATATTAAGTTTTTACCAAATGTAAATTGTTGTAAAAATTTTTTTAGTAACTCAGTATATGGAAGAATTTATAATGATTTTACAAAGTTTAAATTTTGTTATAAACTGTTTTGATATTTGTTAAGACACCAATACCGTAATATTACACTAAATATAAATTTCTATATAATTATGTTCATGAAATATAAAATTGAATAATTTACATTATTTTATAAGAAAATAGAAACTAGTATCAAAGTATTTTATCAAAAAATTTTATCAATATGAAGATATTTACCTTATAAAGAAAAAAGTCTCCATCATTGCGAAACCAGCAGAAGCTATTTCCACAGGAATATAGTTACACAACTCTGGAATATTCTTGTACTTTTCTAAAAATAACATTTTAAATTAAAACCGATTTAAAATGAAGAAACCTGTATTCTTTTGTGAACGATGATTTTTCCAGTGTAAATCAATAATATTTTCTTTATTATTGTGTAGACAAGCGCATTATTAACATTTTTCTTAATTATAGTTTGTATGTTTTTCGCCTCTGTTTCACGTGTGTTTTGATTTATATTCAGATTTCTGTGTGTGAAATTTTTTTGCATTAATATTATTTCAGTATTTAGTTTTAAGAGTAATTGGGAAAAATGAACTCCACGTCGTTTTCTTGTGCAGTCCTAATAACGAGTCATAAAGCTATCAACTCCTCTTTGCTTTACATTTCTTTAGTTCGTGCGATTATTTCTATTTAACCTTGTGGATCATAAAAATTGTCTTGTTCCCTGTGAGTCCTGGTATAGTGTTTTCTTTCATACTATCGCTGGGAATTTCCAACACTTTTTACAACTGTTCCTTTTTTTTGTAATTTTTTATGATGTAAGCATTAATTGTATTTTTTCATAGTATTCGTGATATAAATAGGCATTGTATTTCCAGAAAGGTATCATCGATTTATGAAACTAAACCGAGACGAAATATGACAAATCTCTCTATAAAAGATATGAAATATTTGTATTAAATCCTTTAATCTATATATATAAAATTCCTTGTCCTGACTGACTGAATGACTCACTGATTCATCATCGCTTAGACCTAAAGAGGTGAAATTTGGTACACAGTTAGGATACGTCATGGAAACGCACACTAAGAAGGGCTTTTTCGAAATTCCCTCGCGGGGGGAGAGGAAGAGCATTAAGCATTAACCGGAAGAACGGCTTCTACTGTACTATTTTAGATGCGATTTTTTGTTTTTATCTTACTTTTAGTAGGGCCATGGCAAAGCACACTAAGAAGGGATTTTTTGAAATTCCCTTGCGGGGGGAGAGGGAGAGGATTTAGTCTTCATCGAGTACTTAGGTGTATTAAATTAATAACATTTCAGACATTGTTATAAATATTTTTATATATTTTGATTTTTCATCCAAATGTTCGAACCGTTTTAAATTCAAATTTGTTATTGCATATTGGTTTGATTATAGAACGATTGTAAACGTTCCAGAAAATTGATCAAATCGAAAATAGTTCGTTTGATTCTCGGCAATTCTTATCATTCTCAGCGGTAGGTGTTATATAACATTTATAATGGTTGTTGAAATACTGAATATAAATGGGGTTTGCTTGCAAAATTTTCGCGGGCGAAGTCGCGGGTAACTTCTAGTATTTATATAGATATAAAGATATATGTTTATACAGATTCGTTAGAGTTAATAAAATAATGCTAACGCTACTAGCGTTATCTGTGTATATGTCAAGTGTGCCTCTTGAATTTTTTATCTTTAATTAAAACTTTGTAGTTTCCTGTATTTAGTAATTTAATAATATATTTCGAAAACGTCTATTGCACGTTTTAAGAACTAAATTTGCAATATGCAGGCATTGCAAACGTATTTCATACAGAGTTAAGTAAACAAAAATGGGAAGTGTCTTATGAAATTTGCTTAAAAATTGTTAACTGTAATATGAGGGTACAATAATTTACTATTCTTATTGTAATAGCATGTTTTCATTTCTTATCCGTACAATTTGCATGATGCAGCGCAGGCCTAAAGTACTGACAAGGACAAAATATTTATTGTGGACACTACAGGAAACTAAATTATTATATTAAAGTAGAAACAGTAAATGAAAATAGACATATTATAGAAGCTCTTGTTTCATCTGTGGCCAGTGTAATTCCCTTTTTTCCATCCTATTGGCTACACGGCGAGAACACCCAACACAGTTGTAAGTTCTCGAACAATGCAGTTCTGCTATCCCCGCTGCAGTAGTTACGCACCGTGTTTATATAATTGTTAATATTTCCTTAAAGAACTCTCTACTTAGTAGCAAAAGCACTTTTAACGAAATATCACCAATAATTTTTTTAACATCGTTTCAAAATTTAATCAAGAAGAAGCAACACAAAAAACTTACCTACTGTTTCATTAGGGAGCGTTAAAAAAGTGTGCGAATAAACTAATATGCAGATTAAAAGAAACTTAATTCCACAGAAAGCAGCTGTTCTTTCTCCTATACAGTGAGAATGTAGTTTACGAATTGATTGATACAACGAAACAAAGATCAAATTCCTTGTGAGAGTATCTAAATATAAAATATTCAAAATTAGTTTTGTAATAGAATTTTCAGATTTAATCAAAAATTATCTGAAGTTAACAAATATAAAAAAAATCTTACATTAATTTCTTATAACAAAACGCAGCACTAAATTTTCTAAAAATAAAAATTATTCCAAAAACTATGGATTTAATAATAGACTTAATTTTAAGATACAAAGCTTTTTCTAAGTACTTCCGAAAATAGATTAAAAATTTAAGTCTTTTAAAAACTAAAGAAAGTTTTTTACACTTTTCAAAATAATAAACCTGAAATACAATATAATTTCTACTGTGATTTTTCTATTTTATGTGGTATTTTGAAAAGTCCATTTGTTTTATGAAAAAGTTGTTCATATATTAATAAGCATCATGCCTGTACTATTTAATTATAAAAACTACTTAGCTACTTATGACTAATAAACATGCTTAGTACACTCCCAGACCATTTATTCGACTTATTCAACATGCTTTTCGGGCACATTTGCTGTTAACATGAAACATAATCTTTGGTTACAATTGCCAAAATTTTAATATACGTTAATATTACAAATTATTAGATACACTTTTTCAAAAGGATTCTACATTATCACTAGGACATAACACAACAAACTAATGAAGTCTGGTAAAAACCAAGTTTTGTATTCTCGTGTTACTGTCTACTAATGCCGAAATACCTTTTAAATAAATTAATTAAATGATCTAGGTATGTAAAAATCTGGTTTATTAGTGATAAGTAATGAAGTAATTTGTGTAATTAAATATTGATAATTTATCTGTTGAGATTTTTGTATCAAATTGTTTTTCTAAAAGTTTTTGTTAAACTTTGGTAGAAAAAAATTTTCAATGACCGAAATCGAAGAATTAGGTAGAAGTGTTGAAGCAGCTGTTTCGTTTCAAAACATAAAATGGCCATTCATTCACACTTTCTGTGAAAATATTTAATGATAAATTTCGAAATAAATTTTTAGATTATTTATTTCACTGAAAATAGAGACTTTAATATGAGACATCTCAAAAAATATTTGAGATTAAAATACCAAAAAATGAACAATAGTTTTTTCACTGTCCGCTTAATACATCTTATTTAAAATTTTATTTGTCTAGCTTAGTCTATGTTTCATAGAGCTTTTACTTAAATGCGAAGCGTAACTCAGTGCATGTACTGTACATTTACTGCATCATGACAACATTCAAAGCAGCCATTTTTATGTCACTTAAGTCAGCTTTTCATAATTCACGAGAAACGTCAAACATCGGTGGACATATGAAGTAATTTCTTTTAAACTATAAATTACGAAATAAACTTATACATAGTTTGTTTAAACATCCTCATTACTATATACAAAAGAATTTTATTGTGTTTCTTATAATAAAATAAACAAAAGTATACTATTATAAAAGGAATAAATTTAAGTAACATTTACGATTTTACTCTTACCTCTTTTACAACTTGAGGAAATAATGCCAAATTCCATCAAAGATTCGACAAAAGTTGCGAGGACAACCCAACTTGAAAACAAACCGAAGAACGACCTGTAAAAAATTGTACGTGGAATGCATATTTAAATCCTTATTATTATATAACCTGAAAAACACTTGAAAGTTCTCGTGTTGCAATATCGAATACTTATTTATTTTTTTTTTAATTCAATGTATTTTCGATGTAAAACAATCTGTAAATAACTATATCTATACAGTAGACCCCCTATCATACTGTTGATAATTCCGTTTTATATTAATTCCATGTTGTACGAGTCACTTAGATTTTACAAATACGTGAACCAAGCTGTGAATGGCTCACATATTATCAACAGTGTTATAGGGGGAGTCTACTGTATATAATGACAATATGATTTGGCAATTACTTCTAATTACCCTAATTTCCATTTTATAATCCACGAGATATCTCGGTTTAAATGTTAATTTCAAAAGCACAGATACAATATTCAAGATGTGAATTATTTGTTTATCGTAAATTTCAATTACGAATTGATCCAACAAATTATTTTTTTGTATAAATGTTTTACTTCTTTTTGTTATACGAGTTTTACATACGTTAGTTTAATTTGAAAACAGTTCAATGTTAGTTAATTTTATGTAATAGTCTATTAACACTGTTGTACTAGGTTAAAATGCACATCATTGTAATATCGATTCTCAATGAAAATTAATACACAAGTACACAAGAATGTGTTCATGAAAAATGTAGTGTAATTTATATCTATATTTTTTAAGTATGAAAAGACGTTAATATACTTTTTTCGCTTTGTATTTTAAAATTTCAGAATGATATACTATTAAATGATATAATGTTTCTATATATTATATGTTTATATTGTTAAAATGTTAAGTTTTTTAATAGTAGGTGTCCTGTTTTTATTTTTATAATACATCCGAGATTATCACGATTTTAATGTATTGCGCTTAGAACAGAAATTTTTGTGAATAAAATGTCAAAAAAGTAATTATGAAAGATAGAAGTGATTATATAGTTGGCTGGAAACAGAGTGGTTAAGTGATCGACCTACGGGGTTGATACAAATAGTCTTCCGCGTTAAAAATACTAAATATATGTAGGTAAATCATGTTATAGCCAGATAAGAATTATTTAAGATTCAAGAAGTTCTTTTACTTGCTATTAGCATTACAATTTTTTATATAAACCTATATTTACCCTCAAAATGAAGAGTTTTAGAATATTATAATAAGTATATTATGAGGAGTTTTTTGGAAAAAAAAATTATAACAGATCGTGTCACACAAGCAGTTTTAAATCTTGCTTAATTAAAACGTTAAACAACTCGCTGCTGTATTTTTATTGAAAATGTAATAGTTAATTTAAATTAAAAGTTGAAATTCAATAAAATCAAAATTTTATTTCTATTTCTTATCGTAGAAATAAAACTGACAAAAAAAATCTGAACATTCTTAATGTCATTTATTTTCACTGATATATTTCATTTTTGATTCATGGAATCTAAAGTATTTGTAATTTTTATTAACAGCTATCCGAATAAACTATCATAGGTAAAAGAATGTTTATGTTTCATTACTGTACAAAATTAATACTTTACTATAAAATTTAATTGATTAAATTATTTTATGCTCTATGGATAGTCACAGTAATGCCCAATACAAGCAAGACTAAAGAAAGAGAGCTTAGTTGTTTGGTGAAAGTAGAGAACGATGTTTCTGTCCAAAGGAAAGTATGGGAACCTGGAAAAATTTCCTTATGAATTATGATAATCTGAAATACATGGTGAGATGACTCCCGTCAAGTTTCATCAAGAAATATCTGATATAAGTAAACTCTCGTTCAGACTTGACAAGTGTATTTGAAAATTTTCGGATAAATGAAAATTTAAGTTTGTAGTAAACAATGTAACGTAAATACATTTAAATTTTCTCCAAGAAGGTAAATAACAAATTTATTTAAAAACTTATTTAATGGACCTAAAACTTTCAATCCAACACTAGTTAGAACAACAGCTTGGTGCAAGGCTGACATTCATTTTTATTAACTGCAATTTATGAGAAAAAAATTAAAATCATAAAGTATAACTTACAAACATATCACTTGAGCAGTGGAATAAACAACTTTCTGGTTTTTCTCTTTGCAATAATCAACTCTAGCTGATAGTTCACCTCTTAGCACTAAAAGGTATGTTTATAATCAAGAATACATTGTTAAAATACGTATTTAAGTTACCAAATATTATGAGAATACTTACACCAATTTAAAATATTTTTTAAATCGTCTTCATGACAGTCACTTGGGATGCAAATATCGAAACGTAACTCTGGTCCAAGAAAACTTAACTGTTGAAGTAAATTCTTAATTGACAATGGTTTCTATAAAAAAGAAATAATGATATGTGAAAAATATGTACATTTTTCATGTAGTTAACACTAAATAAATAATGTTTATAAAAATTATGTTATACACTTCGCCGTTATACGTTGAAATAGCAGTTCTTATATAAATGTACGAGTAAACTAATAACATAGTTGGTATGTTTTTGGTTAGCTTATCCAGCTGCATTAATCGCGATTTAACAGACAGTTCATCATTATAAATTTATATTGTTATAATTTTGGATTTTACTTATTATATTGTGGAGAATAGATTTAATTATGCAATACACTGCAAAATATACGAAAATATGTTTTAAAAATAAAGGGTGTTGATAGAGGATGTGAATAGTAAAAACATTCATATTTTTTTAGAATGACAAAAAGTGCTGAGGCCAGAATTTCATGTAATATATTATATAAAATTTTCGATGTATATTCAGTTTGGGCTTTAGTAGCCCCTCTTTAGTACATGCTACACAATAAACAACTAGATTAAATTAAATATACATCTAAACTCTACGTGTTTCATATAACGTATTTGTAACATGTTTTGTAACTGATATGAATGTAAATAAATGTTAATCCTGTTTAAAATTTATTTCAACACTTTAAAATATACAAATTTTTTTACTATAAACTGATAAATACACGATTTACAAAGAACCTCTTTCACTATACTTTACAATCGCAAATAGCGAAGTGAAAGTATTAAGTTACCCAATTTACATTATCTAATAAATAGTATTTAAATTTATATTATTAATTTTTCGGCGCTGTTATATGTAGTATTTATCTAACGGGATGCTTGCTGTTTTTCAACCCGAGAAAAATTCCGAGATATTTTTCTCATTTTGGAAAACCGCAAATTTCTTAAAAGTTTACTTTTCTCTTATTTCGTGTTAAGATTGTGGATAGACTTCAAATATACAGTATAATTTATTCTGATTTGTCCAGATATGTTGGACCCCATCTCGCACTATCTGGCCGCCTCATTCTGGGCCTGGCCGAACCATAATGGGCTTGACAAAAGAGGCCATCTTAGTGCCTACAGGGTGGAAATAGTTTTACAAAACCAACAGCAAAACGAGTTTTAAAAAACCTCAGTAATTAGGCGCTATGTAAAATATTTAGATTGTGTTGAAGAAAAAGTACATTGAAGTTCATGACAAACATATTAAACACAATCTCAAATATATTTTTACAAAGGCCGATTTTGTACCTCGTGGATAAGTTTTAATAAAGAATAGGACTCGGAAGTAGCATTTAGATTCTTATGCAGACGATAACTTGACTCAACTAACTCCCTCTTCAAACTCCAGATAGAGGACGGAGTTAGTTGAATCAGCTAACTCCGTCCGGAAACCCGGAATACAATCTTTGGAAAGTTAGCTGAATCAGCTTATGTACCTACGGAATCCAGTATAGAATCCAAGCAAGCAAGTTCTTGGGAAATTTCCTCGGAAAGTTAGCCCCATCCCTCAACACCCGGCCGCTTTTATATAGGCTTGACAGGCGCGTCGATGAGTGTAAAATAAAAAAATAGTGTCTATAAGACGAAAACTTGAAATTTTAGAAAGGTTCTCATATAAAAGTAATTTGCTTTTAAAGGTTTTTTAAAGTGTTTTAACGTTTCATTTATATTCAATAAAATATCTATAAGAAAATTTGAAGTAGTCATAAAAAGTACTAAACGACTCCTAATACTAATTAAATATAGGGGAGACCGGGGCAACTTCGGCATGCGGGGCAAGTTTGTCAAGCGCTTTTTTTTAAAAACAAATTAAAAGGAGACTTTGGTTATAGGTTAGATAGTTGAGTTTTATTGGTGGCTCGTTGAGTGTAGTGTTTTTATTGTTCTCCAACAAGCGTAGTTGAATTATCAAGCAAATTTTCATTTTCGTTCAATTCCATATAATATTTTTTTTCCATTTATATTGAATTGGCAGGTTTTGTTATAATTCCATGATAACGAAAGTTACTTTTCCTGTTAGAAGGATGTAACTTCAACTTATTCACGTGGCCAGATCGTGGCTTGGCATTCTGTTCTCAGGGTTGTACTTAATGTTTCGAAATCATGACTAGCGGGGTAAGATCGGCAACATAAAGCCACATTAGAAGCAAAGGATAAAAATCAAACAGATGATAAATGAAAACATGTTTGCATTTGTTATTCATGTATATATGTCTTTGAACTTGCATTTCGTTGTAATAATATTAAATGGGTGTTGGATTTGTATTTCTTTGTTTTAATAGTGAATTCCAACTTATACATTGTTAATAACATAATTTTATATACGTGCCTATCTTGCCCCATTACTGTTGCCCCTATACCAGGGGCAACTTTAATAAAAATAATTAAAATAATTACAACTTTACAAAAAGAGAGAAGTTGCCGATCTTGCCCCTATACCCGGGGCAACTTCGTCAATTTCTCTCTTCTTGTAAAGTTGTAATTATTTTAATTATTTTTATTTCCAAACTGATTTTAACCAGTTCTATAGTAAGGTAAGATTCCAATAGACAATATGCAAAGCTTTTTTTTCAGTTTACAGCAGTATTTATTACACAAAATTTAAGTAAAGCTTAACATGCCGATGTTGCCCCGGTCTCCCCTAAATATAACAATACATAAATAATTTTTTACAGTTTAAATAAATTTACTATACTTACAACAAGATTTTCCAATAGATGAAGGAATGTATTGTTTCTAAAATTTAAAATTAACTCTACAGTTTCAATCCTTATTTTAGGCAATTCGAATTTGATTGCGCAATACTTTCCATTAATATTTTTCGAATTTCTCGTTTTAGAACTGTGACCGCTATCAATGTTCAGGCACTGATCATAATCGCCCCTGATCCATGGAGTTATACCTAACATACCAGCTGAAGGTTTTCCCATAGAATCCAACACTGAAATAAAATATTGTTAATTAAATCCTAATAATATAAATTTCTTAAATAATATTATACATTTTATATTATTATTTTATACAAAATTATATTTAACGGAAATAGACTCTGAAATTTCCGAAATCTTAGAAATTTCATTTTTATTATTAAATTTGTTTGTTTATAATGTTTCGCATTTGCCAATTGCGTAAAATTAGTGAACACTGATAGTTGGTACGATTGATGAGCGGGCAATGTAGTTTTTCCGGGATACTTGAAACTAACAACTAAATAGTACAGTTACTGACAGAAAGTTTTCCAGAAAGAACTATGCATTTATTGCTTTGCTTTATTTCATCATCCCAGTTAAATCAGATGTGTAATACAAATTAGCTGAAAATTTGTTAGAAAAGAAATACATTCCGTTTGCAGCAAAACAGTAAAGATTTAGCTTACAAGCCATCTCACTTTTTTCACTCATTTAGGTATTTATTAAATTTTTCCTGTTTTTTAAATTAATTTTTTGTTTCAGAAAGTCTCAAACCCGAATATTTGCAGGAAAGTCAGTTGGACAAATTTGACACGATTTGAATTGTTTTTTTTTCCAATTTATACAAAACATCGGTAAAAGTGTAAATAAATAGAATGAAAAGCAAATTATAGAAGAACTTGTCATCATAACACAAAGTGGATTTCTGTAAAATAGCAAATGTGTGTTAAACACGTTTGAGTATTTAACCAAATCTATTCCGAGGCATTACACTAATACAGATATAAAATCGAAATATTCATAATGAGCAGTCATATGTAAAATTTAATTATTATATCTCTGTACGGAAGTACTATAAGTGCTGGAGTGAATCTGAACCCTACAAGCCCATCCCTAATCTAAAAAATTTTTACCAACAAGAGCAATTTTTTAAAATTTCCTAAAACATATTAAAATTATTTTAATCCTATTATTTTCTTTATTTTGAAGCATTAATTATGTTTATTTAATTACATAAAACTAAAATAAATATGTAAATTTTAAATAATTCTATCTATATCTATATACTGTACATATATAAAAATGGACGTGTGTGTCCCTATATTTCACTTTTCCGCAAAAACTACACATCGCACATGAATGGTGTTTGTATGTGGTAGTAGCCCCAAGTCTCCATTCGTGCATAGGGGTAGATGCGTCTCGATAGCTATAAGGGTGCGGGAGATATGGGCTCGAAAGTGGTTGAAAGTGACTTTCTATTTCGAATGTTTTGTTCGAATTTGTTCGAATTAAATTCGAACGTAAAATTCGAATATTGGTTCGATTATAGAACGACTGTAAACGTTCCAGAAACGTTGAAAATAGTTCGTTTGACTTGACGTGAACAGGAGACGATCAGAAATCGAATCGGGACCAAGTCTCTAATTAGACTGGAAACGGGAGACCTAATTCTTGCATTCTGTGAAAACAGGTAAGATTGGCTATAATGTAATTATCTTAATCTTCACTATCGTTACTTTTTAAAAACCCAGCGAAGCGGGTCCTTATAACTTATTAGATTACTTAGAAATTACTTAGATTACTTAGAAAAACAGTCTTTTATATATATATAAAAACTATATTACATACAAATGTACCAACAAATAAAAACCCAGCGAAGCGGGTCTTTGCAGCTAGTTTATAATAATAATAAATCAACAATTAATATTTACAAATTTTTACTTTGTAACAGCCATTCTTTCAACTGTGTTAAATCTCTCATAAACATGACTTCACTTTTTACACACGATGATGATAAATTTATTTCTTTGGAAAGTTTTATTAAATATGGTAAAGCGAATTTGACCATAAATTTTGCCAAATTTCTCAATTGTTTTTTGCTGCATTCAGAATTATTACTGTTTTATCTAATTCGCTCCAATTTATTTTTTCTGTACTGTTTCCTGTCTTTCTTTCAGGAACACCAGTTGATTTACACAATGTTATAAATAGAAATAATACGGATAAAATAATTCTTATTTTTATTGCTGAAGAAATAAGGTTCAGATTCGAATAAAGGTTTATCTCGAATGCTCATTTTTAAACAAAAATTAAAACTTAATTTTCTTGAAAAACTTGAAATTTAATTGCTTTCCTATTATTTTCAGGAAAGTTTTATCAAAACTAATAATAACTCTATAAAGAGGGATGGAAATGTTGTGCTGTATTTTCCTTGTATTATTTATTTGATTTTACTTCTGATAATTTCTGCCATTATTTTTCTGTGTGTAGATGCACATAAAATTACAAATACGACTGATTATTACTCCTAAATAATAAAGATAATTTAACTATTTGAATAGTATTACTGTCGCCCACCTCTTCAACACAGATGGATCTTTCAGTCTCAGCGGATGTTGTAATATCGGAAAATGTAAAAGAATGTTAGAGAGAATCACTCACATTAGCAAGAATAACACATTCTTGCTAGTGTGAGTGTTTGAGTGTGTGTGAAACTAATTTTTTTTCATCAGTTTGAAGTGTAATACACAGTATGTCCTATGACTTTTGTAAAAAATTTCTGAAATTTCGCACAGACAGTTTGTTGAGTAGATCGTTTCGAGAAATTATTATGAAAATCAGACCATCATTTGGTAAAATATTAAGGGTATGCTGGCCATAAACTACAATTTTAAATTTAGTTATTTTTGCAATTTTTTGAGAATCTTTTCGTGTATAAAAACTGTACATATATAAACATTATTTATTTATTTTATTGGAAACAATAGTTCAAAGTTTTAAAATTTCATAATGACAAGAAACTTTTAAAATTATATTAATATGTACCATTTGTAAATTATATCTTGATAAATGGAAAAATCCCTTTTTAGTGTATATTCTCTTGACGTACTGTACCTTATTAAATCGTAATCAAAAACGCAAAAACCGCATCCAAAATAGTATAATAGAAGCCGAGTTCACGGTCAGCTTTAAATTTAAGAAAATGTAATTGCTGATTTACATTCGATTCAAGCATTCCACTTGTCATTTGTTGGCGATACTTGTAAATCAGCAGATTGGTAATATAAATTAATTGATTTACAGAAACCAATTAGATATTTTGGGGTGAGATATACGACATTATGTACGTTATTGGTATAAACACTTAATTACCGAGTTTCGTAGCAATTGATTTAACGGGGTAGGATCAAACAAACATCCAAACATTACAAACAAAACAAACATCCAAACATTAAAATTTATATTTAGAGGTTTTTACATAAAACAATATTTTTTTTTGCAAATTATAAAAAAATTACTACCACAAAACAGAAAAATAAATAATTTAAGAAATTTAATTGTAAAAACATTTTATTGTTTTAACGTGTTTTACAAAAACTATATATTTTATAAAAACAAGTTAGGTACTGTTGTAGGTCATTAAACTTTATTTCAAACTTTCATTATATTAAGACCCCAATTGTTACAATTAAATGCAAACCAAGTTCTAATTAAGGAGGAGCCTAAAACTGTTAAGAGATTCCTAATTCTGATGACAATGAAGTTTTTGATATTTTGATATTTTCTCTATACCAGTGTTGTTCAACCTGTGAGTCGCGACCCCCAGGGGGGTCGCGAAGCCTTATACGGGGGTTGCGGGAAAAGAAAAAGACAGATGTTTGTAGGTCCTGCACTACATTTAAAATAAACTACAATTTTAGCGAGAAGGCTGTACCTGTTTATTATACAGTACAATTGGTTTTTTGATCGGCATTTACGTCTGAACGATGGGTGTCGCCAGGGAGGGGCCTGGGTGGGTATGCCCACCCCAGAAAATGATAGCCGAAAAAGTGTTGAGCTGACTTGTAAAAAGAAGTAATAAGTAGTAAAGTAGAAGTTCAGAACTCTCATCCTAAAAAAAAGAAAAAAAGAAGAAAAAGTCAACAGCACCCAGAGCCCAATGTTATAATGAAAAGGAAGTTTCATACTATACGTGTCTTAAGTTATTGCCGATTCTTCTTAAATTCTCATTTTAATCAACAATTATTTCTCTCAACAGCAAGAAAATTAAATACATAATTTTTAAAATCACTGATATAGTTTTAATATGGCCCTAGAGGGGACGCCAGAATTTTTTAACTTGTAAAAGGGTCGCGTATTCAAAAAGGTTGAAAAACACTGCTCTATACTAACCTCGTGAACATAACACAAACCTCGACTCTCCAAACATAATATTCAAAAATACAATTTAATCATTATAACTATGCATAAATTTTCTGTATAGAAGTTTGGGCTCGGAAAGCTCCAACCTCACCAGCCACCTTTTTTCGAAAAATACAACCAATAATATCGTTATTTTTAAATTTATTGAAATGATTTTAATAATATTATTTCTTATTTTCAAGCTTTTGATTGTACGCATTTTACTTGTATTCAACTAAAATAAATAAATAAAATTTAAGTAATTGTATCTAATCAAAACTATCAACAATAAATATTTATAAATTCTTACTTTGTAACGGCCATACTTTCAACTGTGTTAAATGTCTCATAAACATGACTCCACTCTTAACACATGACGACGTTAAATTTGTTTCTTCGGAAAGTTTCATTAAATATGGAAGAGCCAATTTAACCACAGATTTTGTTAAAATTTTCAAATTTTTTTCTGCTGCATTCAGAAGTTTTAGTGTTTTATCTAATTCGCTGGAATCCATTTTTTCTGTACTATATCCTGTTTCTATTTCAGGAACTTCGTTTGATTTGCACAATATTATGAATAAAAATAACACAAATAGAACAATTCCTTTCTTCATCGTTCAAAAAATAAGATTTTACGTTGGAACAAACGTTAAGTTCAAATGCGTTTTATGAAATGGCAACTAAATTACTTATATAATATGAATTACTTTATTGTTCTTTCTGAGGAAATCTTTGTGAAAACGATTAATAACTAGAAAAACAGGTTGACAACGACGTGCTGTAGTTTCCTGGCATTATTTATTATTATTTTTTTAATTTTTTATAATTACTGCCATTATCCTTCTGTTTGCAGATGCACATAAAATTACAAATACGAATGATTACTACTCCAAAAAATTAAAGTTGTGTGTCAAAGAAATATAGATCAAAATTTGGAAAAAGGAGAGAAAGGACAAAAAATAAAAAGTAGTGAAAAAGGTTAAATAGATATTTTGTTATGCAAATATTGACCCTTAATTGTCCAATAATACCTTAATTCAGCCCAATAAGTACCCGTCAGTAACCGAGTGAATAAAACCACCGAATACCAGAAGTTAATCGTGTGTTCGCACGCTGTCAACAGACTGGTGACAGTAAGTTTTCTGGGTTTTCTTCGCGTAAGTGACGCCTAAATTGAGGACAGTTTTACATAAAAGTCTTTCCGGGATGCTCTTTGGCCGATCGCTCACGTGTCGCGTTGCAGTCACCAAATAAATAAAAATAATTATTACGTGCGATTATTCATTGTGACGTCGTCACAATGCCTGGCTGCAAATTTTCATTAGAACGTTTTCAATACTTTTAATGGTTGCCTCTGTGCATTATATTTTTCCTGTTCCAAGACGAATGTTCGTACATACTTAATCTGGGCTTCCTGTCACATAAAACTTCCAGATCAGGTCTTCGTTTATCTATGTAACTCCTTTCTGCAGATTAAGAAAAAACATACAGACAGTCAGAGTATATAAGTGCAATTTTTTCAACTTGCAGCTAGATAATTTTTGCTATAAGCGCAATATATACGAAAAAGTACAGTAATTCTCATTTACAATATGTTGCCAAAATTTATACACTTTATTATAACATAAACGGAATTATTCTAGCATTTCTACAAGATTTTTTTCTATATAAAAAAGTTTTATATTAAGCCTTTCAGATATTAAGGTAAGCATTTTCCATCTTATGAGGGACAATCACAAACTATCCAACACACTTTTCAAATATTAATTCATAATAGACCTGTGTTAATTAGTAGTCGGTGACCATCCACTTTTCTGGGATAAAGTCAAAGACTTCATTTGGTCGAATTATCTTCTATCCCTTACCTCAACAGCCCCTTCTCTCTATAGGACCAGAGGTATGGAAGCATTCGAATAAGAAAAGTACTTAATGCAAGGTAACAGCGAGCACAAAGTATGTTCTAAGTAGTTTTTAGAAAACCGAGTTTAAATATTTGGTCTGTTTGTCGGAAAATTTGATTCGTTAGCAGATTACCGTTTCATACTCGACTGTAAATCGCAAAGTTTCTTACGGTTAACATAAAATATGTAAAAAATTTAAGATATATATTTAAAATTCCTGTCTACCTCATTAATTAATGAAACTTTGCCATTTCGTATCATCCGAGTATCGCGATAAACATGACAATAAGCGAAAGTAACGAAACTATACAGTATTCGTTACAGTGTTTGATATATTATTAGTGTTTAATTTATATAACTCCAAATGTTATTTTATTAATTACGAAATTATCACACGGTATGACAAATCTAAAACATTTCTAAATTTCTTTAAATATTTGTACAGTAGAATAATAAATAATTTTTAAAATGTGTTAGATTTGTCACCTTGTAATGTAAACCTTTACGGATAAGGATCTTTGTAGTTATATAACTTAAATGATAGAATATAAGATAATAGAAGAGCTAAAACTACAAAATAATCTTAAAGTTTGTTATTAGTTTTTGTGGTGCTTACTTGCTAGCTTGTGTACAATATCAAAGCAGATAATTTTTACTATTTGGAATTTTAGGACTGAATTTTTGGAGCGATATTAGTTAATTACGCTTGCTTTAATTCAGAAAATAAAGTATTTAAACTAACTATTTGTAAAATTTTAATAAAACATTATAAATGAGAATCAAGATATTGCAGCAATTAGTGTCACGGAATAAAAAATAATCATATTGTTTGGTTTATAAAATATAATTACTTGGCTATTACGAAATTTTCCCGAAATCTGACAAGATTTTATCAGTTTCATTGAACAACCAATTCTTGGAATATTTTGCAAACTCATTTTCTATTCTCAACGTTTGAGCAATCGTATATAAAACAAGCGTATAGGCTAAATAATAACATTATTTTCCTTGTGCACGTATGCACATTATTTTATATTTTATTCTAAATTTACTAAATATTAAAAATTCGTATTATATTATTAAAGTTATAATTTAAGGCTGTATATTGTAGAATATAACTAAAATATCAAAAAATATTATTATCTATACTATAAACATCTGGATACTTTTTACTTGTCCTAATCTCTTGAATAAAATGTAAAATCGATTTGAGAACGATTTCCTAATACAGTAGAACCTCGAAAACTCGGCTCTCGATAACCCGGCACTCCGGATAACTCGGCCACACCCTGGCAGAGCAAAAAAATCCTTAGTTAATTAATTTTCATTATAGACAGCTTTATAACAGTATAAAAGCTCTCATAAAGTATTTTTCTGAGGTCTGTCTTATCAGGTAAACTACTATACACAGTGTATTCATTAATTTTCATTTTCATGTAGTAAAGGCTCTATGCCTTCATAAAGGACGTACTTTTTCTTTATTTAGGGGTATTTGGGCAGTTTATTCTCTGTTATATTCTCAAGTAAGCAATACATACAAGTACAGTACAGTATTTTCTGAGGAAACACTCGTACTTATTTTTTTAACCCCATTCCCCATAACCCGGCATTTTCACAAACTCGGCCACCCTTCGGTCCACATTAGGCCGAGTTTTCGAGGTTCTACTGTATCACCAATAAATAATTACTAGAAACCTTTATAATTATATTTAACTACATTCAAAATTTCCGACGGTGTGCATTTTTTCCATTAAATTTTTTACATATTTTAGAATATGTTGCAGAATATAATTCGCACGCTGATAAAAACACGCATAGTATTTTAATGTTTCGGAAATTTCTCAACTAATCAATTCATAATCACTTGAAAGTAATCAAAACATATTTCACAATTAACTTTTATTTGAGACATTATTTACTGCAATTTAAAAAAATTGTAGACTTTTAAACTCCCATTGTCTGTCTTTACTTACTCTCGAAAATGAGTCAGATAAGTAAAAGTGAAGACAAAATATAAAAAGAGAAGGAATGGTAAGGTTGGTTTAACTATACAAGTACTTTCTGTTTGCACAGGAAGTCACGTTATTTTAATTCAAATATTTTTCCTGGAAGCTGTTAGATGATCGCCACGATTTTGTTGTTACCAGGATAAATATTTTACACAGGGAAAAGACACTGCTAGTTTAATATGGAAACCATATATTTAAAATAAATTAAAAATCTGAACACGAAGATTAAACCATGTTACAATAAATAATTTCTCTATTATTATGAATATAAAAATCGTAATGAACAGTATTGTTTCTATCACATAAAGAGGAATAAAAGTTTATATATTTTTTTTTAATATTCTTTATTATATCCGCGAACGTAATAATAAAATGGAATATTTTTCAAGTATAAACATAAACTATGTGTAAAAATGTGTTTAATCCATAGCACTTCGGTACACCAAATTACAAATATTTTTGATTAAATAGACTATTAAACAACCCAAAGCGTGCTCAGCAGAAAATAATGAATTAATCAACACCTGATCACTCGCTGAGAGATTTATTCTTTAAACAAACGTTTTCAATTCAATCAATGAATTATCGTCAGGTTAATTAGAACATTTCAAAAACAGAATAACAGGTTTAAAATACAAAAATATAAATATTAATAACCGATAACCAATATGCTATTAACAGCATAATAACGTTTTTAAATAATAAAATTAATACAAATGCTGCTAATACTAAAAATAAAATAAAATAGTCAAATATAACAAACAAACTGTGAATACAAAATATCAATACCTCTAACTTAATAGACAAACTGTTAATACTAAATATTAATATTGCTTACTAAACTATACAGAGTTTCTCTACTTAACTATACAGAGTTTTTACTACAAATATTATTAAAGTTCCTGCTCTTATTTAAAGTTTTTAATTGCAAACTTAATGCGGAAGGAAGTCCCTCTGCATCTCTTGCGTTGATGCAATTCCCTTTAAGTTTGCTTTTATAAATTTCTAATTTTTCAACCGTTCTTGCCAAAGTCGGGGAGTTGTTTCAGGTAGACTATTAAATTTGGTATAAATGAAGATTAAATCTGATTAGATCTATTCTACATCTGTAAGTACTGTATACTGTATTCTGGTAAAGGATTTAATTTTATTACTGTTTGTTTTTAACGCAATTATTATGTTTCACATAAAAAATTATATTATAAAGTGATAAACATTACAATGGTGTTTGTATGTGGTAGTTGCCCCAAGTCTTTATTCGTGCACTATGGGGGTTGCGTCTCGATAGCTATAAGGGTGAGGGAGATATGGGCTTGAAAGTGGTTGAAAGGGGAAGATTTTTTATTTCGATTTTAAAAATTTTCGAATTCGAATTGGTTCGATTATAGAACGATTGTAAACGTTCCAGAAAATTGATCAAATTGAAAATAGTTCGTTTGACTGGACGTAAAAATTCTCTAATTAGTCTGGAAACGGGGGACCTAATTCTTGCATTCTGTGAAAACGTGTAAGATTGGCTATAATATAGTTATCTTAATCTTCTCTATCGTTACTTTTTGCCCACAAATAAAAACCCAACGAAGCGTGTCCTTGCAGCTAGTATATTTAATAAAGTTACAATAAATATGAAGAAAAATGCTTAAATGCAGAAAGTGAAAATAAATATAAATAAAGTTAATTTTCATTTGCTGTATAAAATTGCTGGAAGCTTGACAAAAAAAAGCAATAAAATTGCAATTTTGCGTAATATTCGAAAAATTTTTTACTGAATATAAATTATTTAACCATTAATTCTTTCCGGAAAATCAGTATTCGAATCATAATGCATTTGCCATAAAAAGTAAATGATTTATTTTCCTTGGGATTATTAACTGGTTTTCGTAACTAACACACACAAAGTCTTAGTTCATATTTGCCTTTATAATGTGATACTTTTGATATATATATATATATATTTATGAATTTAATCTTTTTTGTGTATTTAATCTTTTACGTTTATTTTTGTGTTTAGTTTTATATCGCCTTATTTTATTATTTATTATTTTATTATTTACATTAATTTGGCTTCAATCTATTTATTATAGTTATTTAATATAGTGATTGGTAAATTTATTTTAATTTATTTTACGTTTTAATTTTGAATTTGTAATGTTCGAAAGTTCCATTTAACGCAATTTTTAAAGTTATTCGAAAACTTATCACCTGATGATGGCTTATTCCATTAGGCTTAAAACGTTTGTAAGTTAATAAATATTTTTCAGTTATAAGGTGTTGAATGTTTTAATGATTTAAAAGAAGCTGAGTTTGATATTTAATTTAAGTCATTTTCTAAAATTCCCTCGAAAACTAAAGAATGTAAAACTAAACAGGTTTTTCTCTAGAATGTTCTCATGTTAGTAGTGTCTTGCCTTTGTGCATCATACTTTTCCTGATAACAAAAGAGTCGTGACGGTTAATTATGTAACTCTATTAAATGAAAAATTTTTGCATTGAATTGACATAACTTTCTTTGTTAATCGGATGCTTTTGTCGCATAAGCTTTTTCGATATTGGGTAAATTGTCATTTATCTAACGCCATTTTCCTGACTATAAAAAAAACAACCAGACAGATCGAAAACAGTGGCAATTTACAAGTATATAATTTTTTTTCAATTTACAGTTCAATAACACTTTGATAAACCTGTATATTAAGAACCTCGCTACTAACCAGCTTAAGTCAGATTTATTTTATATAATAGTGTACAGCATTAAATATTGATATATGATTTATACCTTTAGGTCGATTAAATAACGGCATGAGTGTTGGTAGAATTCTAAATAACGTTATAAATTCTAATCATGCAGAAAGTCTTCAGAATCACACGGAACAAACAACAAACAAAAAATAAAAGTTTGAATATTAGTAACTTTATTTCAAGTTGTGAATATAATGTTTTAAATTTCAGATTATGATTATAAGTTAATGAAAAAAAAAGTAACTTTTTTGCATATTATGTAGTACAAGATAAATCAGATAATTTTGGTTTGTTGGAAGGTAATGATTGTATTATAGTTATTATTACCGTTTCAAAAAGAAATACTTGTTAAATATTCAAGGTTCAATATTAAAAATTTACTTAGAACAGGGGTGTCCAATCTTTTTTATTTCTCTGGGCCGCATTGGAAGAAGTCAAAGAGTTTTGCGCCACAAGTATATATAATTTTCAAAGTTATTCGAAAACTTATCACCTGTACCTTAATACAGTCGACGTCCCTATAAGATCATAGATACATTCCATTCTTTAGGAATCCTATTTCTTACGAGTCGTTCCAATCACAGCCCGACACGTGTCAAGTTTACAGACTACGGCTGATTGAAAGGTTTTCTTCCATGAAATTAATCGATTCTAGACTAATCCGACTCAACATTTTCAAAATACGTATATATTTTTTTGGAAATAATCCGTATAAACTACGCTATAAACAAAAAATTATAGGATTACTTACCGAGTGTGCACCATTCGACATCGCCATTGCTAAAGCTTGTTTTCGTCGCGGAACAGCTCAGCAAACAGCGGCCGATTTCTAACAACTTATTTTTCTGCGAAAACTTCGCTGAACTTTGGAGACATCATTAATATAAATAATTTTAATCGCCGTTGAATAAGAAATGTTTTTTTCACAAGAAATGTATAAAATCACATTACTGTATTAGACTTACGGTACCTAATTTACATACTGCACAGACGATAGTTAGCGTAAAATCTCCGTATCGTGGTGCTACGCGGCAGAAAAAAAATATATAATTATAATAAAGTTACAATAAATTAAGTTAATATATAATTATATGTACAGTACCTAATTTATATATAATTTATATATAATACTGTACAGACGATAGCAAATTCTCTGTAGTGGCACTTGACGGCGGAAAATAGTTCGGCTGCCCGATGACGTTTTACGTAATTGATAATTACGTAATTTATAATTACTAATTATAGAAGCTTTTTTATTTTTTTTACAGATACCGTCGCAATTTTTTCGCAGTTTTAAGGAATCGTAATTATAGGGACCGTAATTATAGGGGGGTCTACTGTATATACTTATATACTTATGTGATAATCTGAAGGTATTCTTAAATAGATTTATATAATTGTTACCTGAAACGACTTAAATAAATAATTTAATTTAACTACACTTAAAAAGGGAAATTTGATAAAATTTAGAATAAAGTTAATATAACCAAAAAAGGTTATAAAAACTTTAACATCTTGAAAAAACTGCTTTATCACGCCACATTTTACAAGAACCGAAGATGTTTTGCTTCCTTCCTCTACCCCTTATATCTTAGAATTTTGCACACCACCTGTGCAAATGACACAACCTTTCTAGGAATTATCGTTGTGCAGTAATCTGTTATAAAAAGGGGCAAGATAGCTAGAGTCGGGGCAGTCGATCCCAGCAAGGGTGTAAAGAGGGCGCCGTACGGGTAAACACCTGCAGAGTGTGGGTTCTGTCTTTGGATTGCGATTTCTCCGGTTATAGTAGGAATTCGTGAGTAGTTTTAGTGTCATTTTGTTCGGAAGGGTATGAACTATCGAACGCCGTTTATTCTATTTGAATCGGTTCAATCTTTCGATAGTTACGGCCACCTTTGTGCCGAGGCCACGTGCTGTCCCCGGTCGGCCATTTCATAGCATTTTCTTTCGATCTACAGGTTGTAGGGTTAATTTTAGTCGGATTCGTCGAATTCGTCTTTAACTTGTCTTAATAGCCATCCTCCGTTAATTATTTCGAGTGCTACGGTGCCGTTTCCAGGTTACTTTTAGGCCAACTTTTGGACAGTAAGACCACGATTTGGCTACGTCTCTTGGGTATTTGCCTTAGGGGCACGGGTGGAAATATACCTCCGCCTTTCGTAATTATACGACCTTCCGTTGGAGAGTTATTAGGCCCGTAAATTGTGTGTGGAACAAAGAACCACGTGCTAGCATTATATTCGATCCTAACCTGAAATCGTTTTTTTGGCATAACTGACCCTATTTCCGATTCGAGAACGTTATTAACATACTCTTCTGGGGTTTTAGTGTGGGAATTGTTATTACTTATTGCACTTTGCCCCCCTCCTTGGTCGTCATAGGAGCCATCGTTTTTCGGGTCGTAAAGCGAGCCGACGGCTTTTCTCGCTTATTGGCAAAGTGATATTGCTATTTAGCTTTAGGCCGTTCTACCATCAATTACTTGTTTAAAATTAGTTAACTTATTAATTATTACATTTATTTATATAGGCCTATCTGTGTAAGTGGTGCCTCCATCTCTCCTCGAGGCTCGGTGAGTCCTGTCTCTTATCAGGCAGGTTCTTTTTTTTCTGACCCTCTCTTCGCACTGCGCGTGACAAGCAGGTGCTATTCCAGGCAGTGTTCCACATTGACACTTACACGGCTATCAGCCCTTTTCAGCATAGCTACTTAGTGTGTTCTTAGAATGGAATCGCCTAAACCAAACCAAGTTCTGGACTTGCCAGCATCTCCATCAACTGTCCAAACTCTTGAAGACACAATCCTCAGCAAGGCGGGACAACACTTGAAGAGACTGATGGATCTTCTCCCGGCAAATTACAAAACTTCATTTAACACTCGGGAGCGGAAGGAGGTCAAGGAACGAGTAACGCAACTGTATTGTTGTGTCAGTCAGATGTACGGGGTACTGCACGAGCTGCGTGCCAGCCGCGTGGCTACTCCAGTGCAGGCTCCAATCACCACGGGGAAGTCATACGCACAAGTAGCAAGCGCAACTTTAGACGTTAGACCAACTCGGGCCACAAGAACTATCTCAGATTCTTTAAAAACTAAGGTTCAAGCAGAGGGTACCGGAGGGATTCATGCTGTCCTCCTGTATCCACAGGCAACAAAGGAAGGGCAGCAGCTAAATATGGATGACATCACCTCTGAGGTCATGAAAGAAATAAAACCGCACAAATTCAAGATAACAGTCAAGGCAATAAAAATTTAAAAGAAGACAGAGTGTGTGTCAGGGTAGGCAATGAAAAGGATGGTAGGATACTTAAAGAAGCAATTGAAGCTATCCCAGACATGCGAAGGAAAATCAGCTGCAAAATCTCTGAAGGTAGGAGACCTAGAATAATCCTCCTCGATGTTCCTAATGTCTTAGCAGAAGAAGAGATAATCAGTGTCATGGCCGAACAAAATAAAATCTGGGGAAATCTGAAACCCGAAGAAATAATATCATCCTGCAAGGTCAGCACCATTCTCAACCACGGCAGAATAAGAGAAAACTGCCGGAACGTAGTGTTATCTGTTACTCCAGCTATCCGGAATACACTGATTCACCACAGACACATCTCCATGTCATGGTTCACTATCTATGTGGACGATTTTATACCAGTAGTCAGGTGTTACCAATGCTGTGGCTTTGACCACTTCGCACGTGACTGCCCAAATGAGCGAAGGTGTAGTCATTGCACAAAAAGTCATGGGTTTAAGGAGTGTGATCGCTGGCAAAAAAATCCTGTCTGCATTAATTGCAAAAAATCGAACGAAAGTTTACCAGAAGATAAACGGAAACCTGTACGCCATAATGCTTTTAGCACGAGCTGTCCAATCCTTCAACGACTGAAGCAACAAACCATTAGCAGAACTGACTATGGCCTGTAATCAAAATAAAAGTAATACTCTGAAAAACACGAACAGGCAATCAACCAAAAAGGAAACCAATATCAACTATAGTCATGACACCATAAATATCCGAATCCTCCAACTGAATGCACAAAAGAGCAAAGCAGCCAGTTCACTGCTAATTAAAACAGCTAATGATACAAACAGTGATATCATCATGATACAGGAGCCTTACACAATCGACAATACGATTGTCAGATTCGGGAACTGGCGGGTTCTTGCTGGCCACTGTAATACTAGGCCAAAGAGTGGTATTCTCGTCTGTAACACCAGCCTGGACATTGCACTTATCCCACAGCTATGCTCGTACAGGATCTGTACGGCAGTCATCCATCAGAAAAGGCCCATTTACATTATCGGTGTGTACTTCTCTCCTGACGACGAACATGAAGACTGCATTAATGAACTAGCAAACATTATAAGGAGAATCGACACCAATAGCGTTATCATAGCAAGAGATCTCAATGCTAAATCAGCAATTTGGTTGCACAACAAGAAGGACAAAAGGAGAAGGCTAGTGGCAGACCTTATGGAAGTACATGACCTGATGTCGACTAATATGACCACCTATCCAACTTTTCATACCCCACACGCGGAGGGCTGGACTGACATATGTCTGGTATCAATGGACCTTAGCCATCGCATAGTTGACTGTGAGACTATGCTAATCCCATCCGCAAGTGACCACAGATACATCATGACTCAGATCTCTAACATTACCATCTCTAATCCCAAAGCAATCACCAGGGCAAACACACTAACTGGGAACTCTTCCGGGAGCTTTTCAGCCAACAATGGAGGAATTATGATTTTCTCCCGTATAAACACCCAAAAAGATATAGACGATTATGTCAATTTCTTTACAAAGGCAATGCAATCAGCAAAGGAGCAAGCGACCAGAACTAAAACAAAAAGACAAAGAAAGACTCCTTGGTGGACCGAAGAACTAACAATTAAAAAGAAAAAGACAACAAAAATTCGCAGAAACATAACTAGAACAAATAACGAGGATGAGAAAACCAGGTTAAAGCAAACATATAAAATTTAGCTAAAAGAGTATTCCATATAGTAGTATTCCATATATAGATAGTAGAGTATTCCATAACTCTATATATTATAACTTTACTATATTGCTCCACATTATATGTACGGTCCATAAACAGTTTAATCGAAAATCCATATTTAATACCTTTGATAGCTGAATTATCCAACTTCGTCTTAAGTCTATTTCTCTTGATTTCTGATACAGTACGAACAGCAGTTTTGTTGTTATATCTTCAGCCTTAATAATTTTGAGTAAGAACCTTAAATATCTTTTTATTAGTATAGTATTTATCCTTAATCTGTTTGTTTCTAATCTTAACGCACTACCCGGGATATTATATTCTAGATGGAATATCTTACGTATAAATATATTTTGTATTTTTTCAAGGTCGTTGAATTTTTCCATGCTCCAAACTGGGGCCGCATAGCCCATTGAATTCATCACTATCGAATTAAAAAGTTGAAAATGTGTACGTAAATTATTTATTTTTGCCTTGAAGAATAGTCCAATTAAATTATTTATTGCAATTTTTGCTTTGTTAAGTGAATTTTTATAGTGTTTTTCGAACGAGAGATTAGGTGTGAATGTTATTCCTAAAAATTTAATTTCCTTCACTATCTTCACTTCTTCTGTATTAATAAAAAAGACATGTGCTTTTTGGATACGTTACTTCCGTTTCTAAATATCATAATTGTTGATTTTTTGGAATTTATTTTAACTCTTAGCTTTTCTAAATACTCACAGATTTGTTGTATTTTTCTACGGAGTGCAGCTGCTGTAGGAGCTATCAATACAATGTCATCAGCATACGATATATTATGTATTATCTGGTTCTCAATTTCAAATCTATCTTCATCTCTTTTAAAATAATCATTTAGATCAAATAGGTAAAAATTGAAAAGATATGGGGATAACAAATCGCCTTGTAATAGACTTGTGTAAGTAATGAATGGTGTCCAGATATTAGTTATCCTGTTTAATAATTGTCTTATATTTTCCAAATAACAGTCCTATCATATTTATCAAGAGTTCTTTTGCCTTATATCTCTTCATTTTATTCTGTAGATCAGTAATGCTAATCATATCATATGCTTTTTCGAGATCCAGAAACAGGGCAATCACTTTATGTCTTTTTTAAGCAACTAGACTTGAATTAATGACTGTAACACAAAGAGGGCGGTCTGAGTACCTCCCCCTTTTACAAATGCAAATTGTGTATTATTTCTATATTTATTCGCCGCTGTCCAGTAATTAAATTTATTAGCTAATATTTCAGTGAGCACTTTTAGACAGGACAGAAGAGCTATTGGTCTGTAATTGGTTGGTTCCTGTTTGTTCCCTTGTTTAACTCTTACTTGCCCAGGAGTACCGCCCCCGTACTTTCTTTTACTTTCCTTAACTACCAAGGGCCATTTAGGCCATTCAAAGTCAGTCAGGTTATATTATTTTAAAAATTCGCCAAAAATCAAGTTATTGTTATATTCATATGAAAAAAGTCATATTACATTTACTAATATTTGTAGTTTTAAATACGATATTTATAAATAAAATTAAAAAATAAATTCGAAAGAAAAAAATTACATATATCAGAACTGACATATAACTGTAAAAATTTGTAACATTCTGTTAAAATTAACATTCTTATGTCAGGACCAGAAATTTAGTGTTTTAAACTAAAATTTTTTAAAATAAACTTTATAAAGACGGAACGAGAAAACAGAAAATTAAAAGAGAAAAAGGAAAAATAAAATCAATAAAACCTCGATTCCCACGAGTTGGGTTCCTTGTTGAGATGAATACATTTCTGTGTCACGATTGTGTCACCCATCCCCTCATTGGACCAAGAAGATCGTCATGGCTGACGAAATCGGAGAAAAGTTCGAAAAAGAGGACTTGATATAAAAGGGCCAGGCATGATGAGTAAGGTGGTGGAAGTTATTATTGGTGCCTGTGTGTGCGCTCCGAACGTCTACCTCCCGCCGAGAATCCGTCAACCAACACCTCCTTCTCAACTACAAGACTAGAAGACCTCAACGGAAATTTTCCTACTCACCTAAAAAGAACTGTTCACCTAAAAAGAACTGTTGGACCTTTTGTGCTGATTTTTGACTTGAGTTCCTACAACCTAAGGTATTTATCCTGTCCGCGCACTATTGTACGCTCTCTCTCTCCGCGTAAACAAAACGCGCACCCGGTCGTTAATTTGAACTAAAAATTGAATAATAACTGAACCCGACTCATGTAGTTTATGTTCGCATTTTATTCGCTAATGTAACCCTAATTTAGATTATATATAAATAAACGGTTTTTATTAGTGTTGTAACGAATAGTATATTCGGCCTCAGACCGAATACCGAATATTCGGCCAGGAGCGTGGCCGAATAGCCGAATACTCGGCGAAACTATTCGGCTTCATTAACGCACGTACGAAAATTGGCGCGCAAACCGCATTATGGCAAGGATCCTGGTCTCTATTGGCCCGCTGTCACTACGCTTCGCCAATCGCGTTAATTCTTGGCAGTTGTAGCCGACAGACAAGAGTGTCATGGAAGTATGTGATAAATGATGATATCAAATGTGGATAACAATGAAATGACCTACACATGTAAATAACGGAAAAGGAACAGAGAAGAACCACGAAGTGAAAATGTGAAAATAAATAAAAAATTGAGTTGATAACATAATCGAACAAGTCGAGGCAGCTTATTGGCACGAAATTCGCGGCCGTCAATGCCAAACAATTGTTGTCATAGACTTCGGAAAGCTAAATGCTTGTAATGAAAGTCACTTAGCGTGCACGGGCGAAAGCCTGGGGCCGTTCGGGCTATCAAGCTGTTTCGAATCTGTGAAATCATAACTGTGACTTATATCGACGTCCTATCTGTCTGTTTTCTCCGTTATCACCAGGCTGTCACGTAATTGTAAAATGGGAACTCTACGACGGAAATGTAACGAATCGAAAGTATCGTGAGCGCGTATTATGATGTATGCACAGGCATACGTGGATTAGAGCGATAGAGGAAAGAGAAAGGAAAGAGTAAAGACGAGCTTCTTAAAAAAGATAGGCAGGGTCAGACCCTCAGATGTGCGAGGATTCTCCAACGATAGACGTGTACGTGTGCTGATCTTTGTAATTATAAATTGTGAATACATGTGACTAATATTATTTTCATTTTTATTTTGTGCATGTTGCAAGTTATAAATAAATATAAACAAACAACACTAACCCGACAACATTAAATCTAAATAACAAAATGATTAATTTACTGTGTTTTTGTTATTTATTACTCCTGCTTCTAGGTATTCGGTATTCGGCCGAATAATGATTAAATATTCGGTATTCGGCTGAATAGTGAAAAATAGGCCGAATAGGCCGAATACCGAATAGTAACCGAATATTCGTTACATCACTAGTTTTTATGTTTAAAACTTCTGGAGTGCAGTTTCTTCTGTTTTTCTCTCAGTTTCTCCATTCCGGGTCCAACCTTCATACCTATCCGCTCGCGCGAACTTGTGGTCTCTGTATCGACCGAAGGATACAGTGGTGTCATCCCGACGACGTATCGAAGAGATACCGACCCTATAGTCACACTTAAGTTTTGTAGTTCGTTCTTGGCACTAAGCCAGAACGATCTGAAATATTGTTCTGTACGATTCGACATAACATTTATCAATGTATCATTTTTTGTTTTAAAATTATCACAGATTATATCAATCCTTTGTTTGAAATCAGAACTACATTCTGCTATAAACTGACATAAAAACTAATATACAGTCGACACCCCTATAATTACGGTCCATATAATTACGATTCCTATAAAACTACGAAAAAATATTTGTATTTTGGAAATGTTGAGTCGGATTAGTGTAGAATCGATTAATTTTATGGAAGAAAACCTTTCAATCAGCCGTAGTCCGTAAACTTGACACGTGTCGGGCTGTGATTGGAACGACTTGTAAGAAATCGGATTCCTAATAAATTGGAACGTATCTATATCTTATAGGGGGGTCGACTGTACAATGTTTACTTTATATCGAACAATAATATAAATTTTTGTAATAAACATATTATTACCAGTAGTAATACATTTCACATTGCTAATATTTTAAATTAAATTGAAAAACAAAAAATAAAAAAATATATAAAATCACAGAAATGAGGATAGCAATTTAAATCGTTATAATATGTTCACTTACTATAAATAAATAAACTTGTTATAGTAAGATTATTGCATGAACATGCTAAAAATATAATAAAAAATTATCAAAAAATATTGAAATGAAGAAAAAAATCACTAAATAAAAATTTTTAAGTCAGCGAAAGCCACCTGGACGCAAATATGTGAGACAGACGATATAGAAGACGTTACCGTCATGTGCTGGCATCTGTTGTCGAAAAATTTTTAAAAATTCGACTGTTTACAGGGTGTCTACGAATTAGCACCCTGGTGAATTTTAAAATAACAAAGGGTGTCTCCGAATTAATATAGAATAAAATTAAAACACAATAACTGTATGAAATAATATAACACCAAAACGAATTTTTTTTTTATATTTACATGAACAGATCAAACAAGTTTTATTTTATTTATAGCACTTCCACTTTTTTCATTCACTTTATGTAAAACATGACATACTCCTGGTCTGATTTCTGATAGTTTTGTTGTAATGTCAGAAAGAAAAAAAAGATCAAGAACCCACTTATCATCTTCCAATTGCGGAAACGATTTGTTAGCTGTTGCCATAAACTTCTTTATTTCAGATAATTGATTCATGAATCATTTTAAAAACTTAGCACGGCTCAGCCATCTTACACCAGTGTGCAATAGTAATTTCCCAAGATCGGATTCGCATTTTTCTAGTAATGCTTTGAATTTTCGTTTTTGCTAACTGCTTCCACGAATAAAATTAACTATTTTGAATGCTACATTTATCACATCGTCTGAATTTGATATCTTTCAGCACAAAACCTGCTGGTGGAAAATACAATGGTAGTTATTAAA